GGCGATCCGGACAGGTAATATGTTTTGCGGTCTCTAGATTTCAGACACGACCCGTCTGAATATTGATACACGGTGTATAACATAAAAGTAGAATATATATGTATATATATATATATATATATATATATATATTATATACGTACAAGATTCGATCAAAACACGCACTACCGGCCGGGCTTTGTTCCAAGTTGGTCAAAGAAGAAGAGAACGGCGACGTCGACGATAAAGCAGCGGTAATACATCCCATTGCGGTAGACGGATTTTCATAGATCGAATAAAAAACCCAGACGTACGCATGTTGTATAATATTTGTTTTTTATAGTTTGTCTGAAGGTTATTATTATGTTTTTTTTTTTTCACACACACAGGCCACAGCACATAGACTTCAGTCGAGACAGAGTCACGGATACGGCCGAGCGTTTGATATTAGAATTCCTACGCTTTACCGTGCGTTATCTTCGGCAAAGCGTTCGAATCCTAAAACCAAACCCCGGCACGTTTAACGTCATAACAAAGACGTTTGGATGACGGCGTAAACCACATTTTTTGTGCAGACCGCGAAACAACTCAAACCTTTTTTTTTTTATGTAAATTATAATTGCGTTTTACGTACACGTGTTTCAAAAGTGACACCAGTAAAAAAAAAAATTGTGTTTTTCAGTTTGGGTAAACAATTCTCTAAAAAAAAAATCATATTTTTTAATATTTGTTTATTTTCTGACTTGTGTCACTTTTAAAACATACGGGCGTTTAGTTATGTATTAAATAAAATCACATTGTATTAAACACCATCAACGGCTATGGTGTCTAATACTCTTGATAATGTTAAGCATTTCTTTTTCTTGGATTCAAAATTATATAGAATAATCGTTAATATCGTTAATATGATGTACTATTATATAGATGAATATTATCAGAAGTAATGAAAATCTAAAGGGTATAAGTGATTTTAAATTTTATAAAATTTCACCGAAGAGAATTTATGAAAAAATATTCGTTCAACTTGTTCTTGTGGTTAAAGTTTATTAGTTTATTTCAAAAATCTATGACAAATTATAGAATTAAAACATATATAAATATGTCTCATTAATTAATACCGTATGACTAAAAATGATTTTTGTTTTGATGTCACTTGTACCTTTTCGGTCTTATTCCTTCATTTAAATATTAAATTTATTTTAATTTAATGAACTTATTTTGTTAAAAGTTTCTTTGTTTACTATGTAGATTATTAAACTTAATTAGTTGAGTGTTAAAAAATATTATGTACCTATACTAAAAACTATTTGTTTCTTTTACTAAAACAAAGTACCCATACGTACCCATAAAAGATGTATTCAAAAAATTAACGTAATCCAATCTTTAAAGTGTACTATCTAGTATGTACTGTATGGAATGTACTTCTGAAAACTATTTGCGGTAGAGACCTTAACAATAACATTTTGTTTGACATAACTGACTGTATGCATGGAAAAATCTGTATGAGAAAAAAAATTATAAAACATATTATGCAGTAATAATAAAGACATCAAAATATACAACCTACATATATGTATATGCGTTCTCAGCTTCGTATTGAAGTTTAAACGATTAGGTTCCGTGCCTTACCGAGAGCAATAAAAAAAATATGTTTCTAAAATTCTATTATAATATACAAGCCGATTGGAAAATAATAATGCAACAAGAAAGATTTGAATAAAATCGTTTTGTCGAACGATTTGGATGCCAAGTGGTTCTTTTTGGTGTTTTTAATGATTTCTTATTTGAAATATATTGGTTTCTCAATAAAATTGGACGGCGAAAAGGCGTTTTAAGAACTCAATTATTTGTTGTATATATTAAAAATGAAAACGAAATAATCTGATGGAATTCGAGTTTGAATATATATATATATATATTTATTTATAAGTGTTTTTTTATAAGCCACCAAACGAACAAAGAATACGATTATTAATGTATGTATAGATTTTTTTCTGGCTCTTTAAATAAATATATATATATACACATTTATATTCATTTATTTGTAAAAAAAAAAAATAATAATAATAAAATATTTCAAAACGGCGTTTCGGGGAAAAACGAGTACCGATAACTGATAATAGCAGGTAAAACGGTTTTTTTTTATTTATTTTTTCAATCGATTGCAACGGATGCCGTGCCTTCGGAGAAAATACAACTTCGGGCAGGCGAGAATAACGCGTTAGGTTAAACCCGTATTCGGCCTGACCGAATCGGGTAAAAGCCTTTGAACGTGGGAATTGTGTTCAAAACCGACCTTGCCAACTTAACAAACGTCACAAACCGATCGACTGCGCCATTTCTCTCGTCCAAACGAATCGAGTCGAGTCGGTGCGGACGCTTAAAGGGAAAACCTACACGTACACCAAGCGAGAGCCACACAGGAACCGAAGAATCGCATTATTCGCTATATCCGAGTTGATGGTTTTGTCTGTTTGTATGGAACTTGCTATGCATTTAGAATATATACACATGTAAATATATGTATATAAATTCGTGCGTGTATGTGCGTTTTAAGTGAGAACGCCATTTGTCTCCGGAGCCGTCACAACTGGTGACACCGATTCGAACATATCCTGCAATTACCACACACACAACGTCGTCTGGCTTTTTGTCTCTCCGTCGGTGTTAGTGTTCGATACAAATCCACAGAAGGCTCTTGTCGTCCGTCCGTTTTCATTGTGATTTTAAATAGCGTATCGTCACCAAACCCTCCTCTACTTTTCCCATTCTGCAGAAACCGCGCAAACGTACTACTTGTCTTTCCCGATTTTTTACCTTCCCCTCGACCAACGACATTGTTAAGTATAACATAACGTTGTTATCGTGGCGCTAATAATGTGTAATGTAATATATACATAGATATGATGTGCGCACGTTAATCTCCGGGCACCGCGTTTATTAGGTGCACCACTAATACACGACTCGACGTGTGATTGACAGTTATGACTGAATAACGATTAATTTCCACTGCATGTGTTCGCCATGTACCGCGGTACATGATTGATTGTTATTTAGCGTTTTGTGGCGAACCGTGTCTTTTGTAAATTATTGCATTACCGCGGAAAACAAAAGATCGTCGAAGGCTTATAAGTGGGCGAGCACGATCATTTCAAACACAACAATTATATTATTAAAAACGCGCGATTAGTGTACGAGATAAAAAGAAAACTATAAACAACTAAGTCGACTCAATATTACACGATACGCGTTTATAAGTAAGGTTTTCGTTTAGGTTTCACACTCAAATGTAGACTCTATGCAAGTTTAAAAGAATTCGCCAACTCTAGTATGAATGGCTCTCGACATACTTTGAGCGGCAGCTGCTTTTGAAAAGAACATAATATATTGTTTCTAATTTTCTACAATATATATATATGTTTTATGTAAACTCGACCGTATGACGTGTTTTTGTAATTAGGTCGAATCAATTTTCTTTTTTTTGTGACAAAAAAGAACATCAAACACCTTAAAAAATTGATTTAGAGCGCGGGTACTTGACATGAATATACACTGTACAGTTTGGCAACAATTAGGTTGATTAATTTGAAATATATCAGCACAAGACAGCGTTTTTCTAAACTGTACAGCCACCGAAGATTTATAAGATAATCACGCCATTTTTTTTTTTTTGCCTTGGATACCACTGGCCAATTGATGTGATCGTATTGCTGTAAACTAACAAAGGCATTCGGAACTTATTTTGTTTTGTTTGGTTTTGTTCTACTACTATTTTTTAGAACGCTCGATACGTCCATACATAATTCATGAATACCTATGTGTACGGAAATATAAATCCTCGCTTTTCTTGTTGAATACAAAACGCTGTTTGCCCGTTTAATATAAAATATTTGGACACGCACATATTTTCTTTAACCTAAAGGCCGACGAGGAGTTTGAGGGGGCCGCGTTGGCTGGTTTTCCGGTTGTATCGCAATATCTATCAATATTTTTGTTATAATTTCCATTGTCATAAATTCTAATATTATGAGCCATGTATTATTATGCTGGGCAGCTCCTATGTTTACGACCTCCCGAACATGCCATAGTATCTCATAGTCTTGTAACTGTTAACGTGTACGCACTAGATTTGCCTACCCGACGCGCCGTTTAATCAGTACAGGACTGTCACAATTATGTCCGGTATACAAGTAGTTGATAAATATTTCACTTATTAAAATAATTTGTTATTACTGTATTACTATACGACTATAAACAGTCGGCGAAATGAATAGTATGTTGAGAGATAACAACTTCCACAAAATATAATTATTTGTATGAAACATGAACACTGCAGTTATGACATGATGCATTGTAAAGGTATATCTGGATCGAATAACACAGTATATTTTACCTACATATAAGCATTATATTGGACAAATAATTTTTGTTTTTGTGAATTTGATACTTAAAATTTGGTTTTTAATATTGATTATTTATCTATAAATAAATAAAATACATTCTACGATGTCTCCTATGCAAAGTTTTACACACGAATTGACATAATATGACACCCAAGGTAGATATTTTTATTTTCTTGTTATTACAATTTAAATAAGTGTACGCGCGTGTACGGAAACGAATTTCGTTCTACACGGAATTAAAGAAATACCGCTAGTATTGTTGTTATACAGCGTTGGGCGAATTTATCTAGATTAATTTATTTAGATTTAATAAATAAATAACTGAAATACCGGACATTTGTTCGTATATAATATACGACTCCGTGCTAGCGAAGATAAATATGTAAAGAAACGGAATGTCCGAGCTATGCGAATAAAATATTCATAACATACTAGTAATGATTTGTTTGTCCACAATCGTGTATAGGTATGTCCAACTAACTTGGGTTGGAATAGCTGTTATTCGACATGGTATTTGCCTACATGCACGTTACACGGCTATTGTAATAATTAGCGATATTGTTTAATATTAAAATATGCAACATTAGCTAACCGAGTCGTATCTGGTTTGTGTTTCAGAAGCTGACTACACGCTGGACGACTCGTACTGGAACGAAGAGAGCCCCGTCGGTGAGTTTCAGCCAATGTATTTTATTGTACATATTACTATACAAAATTTGCATAGGGCGCGCGTTTGGTCGGGTTTTTTTTTTCACTCGGTCCATTTCGGTATTTTAATAAATTTCTTTTCCGTTTTTTTTTTTTTTTTACTGCGACGATTATTGTAGGAATAAAAAAATATATAAATTAAAACCGCGTCTCCCGTCCGTCCGTTATAGTGTATGTGTTTTGTATATATTATATGTTTTTTGCCGTGTTTACTCGTGTCGACCCGTTCACCCTTCGACCCCCGTCCCCCCTTGCCGTCGCTAATTTATGCGTTCAAATTACTACTGACGCCGGCTCCTCTTGGCTATTAATTCATTTCGCTCCATAAATGTGTGTTGTGCGTATGTGTGCATTACATATATATATATATATATATATATAAATATACATACACACATACAGGGTGTTCCAGCATAATACAACGCTCATCTATCTGTTCTGGCGACGCGTATCTATGTGTTAAAAACGTATTAAGCTCTCTCGCACAGTAGATGTACATATTTTATAGTGCGCGCTTAGGTACGAGATGTGTGTTTACAGTAACCGCATATACACGGGTATAAGTATATATCGTTGGCAATTAGTGCTTTGGGTAGTAGTCCGGTCGTGGCTTTGTATTTTTTTTTTTTTGGAGGGGGGGGGAAGGAGATGTGGTACTCTTCCTTTGACAAATGACAAACTACAAGGCGATATTTCCTCTTGGCGTGCGCCGCTTTTTCGGCAATCGAACCCGTCGGATACGCTTATCATAATGTTCAGTTGGCTGACGTTATTAAGTCGGATTTCCTATTGTATATACATATATATATATATTACTGTTCGTATAATCGATTGCCCGGACGTTCGTCGTGGAACTTGCACAGTGGAAGGTCGCCCCTCAGCCCCCCTTCTAGTTTCGCCTCTACTTTCAACTGCGATGGCGGCAAAGACATTTGAACCGAAATACACATATAAGACTAATATGACCGTTTCCGGGTCGATTGGCCATTTGTTTTGACAGCGAGAGCACTAAATGGGGAGACCGCGGATCGGACGGTGCCGGAGATGACGGGCACTTTCGGACAGCACAATATTGTTCGGTCGATGGAAAAACCCATGAAAAAAAAAACAATTGGGAAAAACAATTTTCCTCTTTCGACCGGCGTTCCTGACCACGTTGTTCGTATAACGCCAATACACACAAGCCGGCACAATAATACATTCTGTCAATGCGTTCCATTGATCTAAACTACGGTATAGGCAGAGAGATCACGAGCGAGGGGCTTGGGTATTTTTAATTATCTTTAATATTGAAATTAGTGTTGAAATAAATGCAATTTAACTCCCGAGAGCTTATCAATTTTTCAAAGGCTTTCATAAACCTAAGACGGTTTAGCCTCCCCGAGCCCGGGAGAATTATCCGCCAATGGCAAATCGATTCATCCAAACGTATATAACATTATTGCAGTAATTCTAATAATTTAATACGCGGTAATTTCTTACATTTTTATGTGGAGACCTTACGCTGGTATTGTGGAAATATCAACTGTTGCGCGTAAAATCACGTTGGGGTTTCTCTATCGTCTCCCTTTCCCCCTCCCTTTGCGTCTAATCTTTAAAGAAAGCTATTGTAATGAAGTATAATAGTATTACACGTTCGATTAGCTTATTTTGCTCATTTGTAAAGTATTCGTTACAGAAGCAAAAAGTAATTCAACTTGCGTTTTTCTCCCTCGAGTCCTCGTCTAATATGTACATACACCGTGGCGGTCAAAAGTTTCAGCGGATTTGTTCTGTCGCTTTTAGAAGCCAATTTTGTTCGTTACAATAGGAAATCCGACAGATTTGAAACGTATAATTTATTTTACCTCCCTTCGATTTACTTATGTATAATAATATATTATTTTTTTCGACGGTTCGGCATTGTCGTGTAAGTTCGCGTCTGAACGCACGCACAGGTATGTATAGAATAAGGAATGATAGGACAACCGAGCGTGAGGGTGGAAACTTGTGCATTGAATTCCGCGACAGCGTGGCACTTGCTGATAAGAAATTTGATTCTCCGGCAACGGCGACGACAAAGGGCGAATCGCATGTGCAATACTACTTTGAAAAGTTTGCCACACAGATAACGATAAGGTGGTAGCCTGACTCCGTGATTCGGGGCGCTCATGCGTTTGCCGCCAAAGTTGTGTCTTCTTCTTAAACACCAAACGGCGAAAAATGTATATAAGGCGGCGATATGCGCCGTTTCTGTGTACATACCTATATATATATTATGGGTACGGTTTACGATTGATGTATTTTCGCTCGTCTTGTGAACACCGGGCTGCCAAATCGGGCTCCCTTTGAATTCCGTTTAGTAAACTTTTGCACGAAAACGCTTAAATTTAGTTTGATATGATTTTTTTCTAACGCTCAAAACGACAACGACCGCGTTTCGCGTCGAATCGATACGTACCTACCTATATAGCTACCTACAGATAGATTTAACGAATCCTTTAAAGGCCGCCGGGGCCCTTTAAGCGTTTTAGTAGGTGCTCGAGCTCATTGCGGTCAACAAGTATAGTATACAGACGGCAAGCGTTGAATCAAATGGGCCGTAAAATAAGGGGGGAAATAAATAAATAAACGAAAACGTACAGCTACGTCGAAAGCAAGCAAAAGATTCACTCCTCCGTTTCAATCACAACGGTGTCCATCTTCATCGTCCAAAAAATAAATCAAATTAATATAGTTGGATATAAATAGTAGTTTTCGTTCAAATGCCAAAACCTTTAGTCTGTACATAGTTAATATTTAATACAATGCAGCAGCTCGCCCATAGTATCATTATATCAACCAGTTTGGTTGATATAATGATACTCTGGGCTAGTTTAGCATACAAATCTCAAAACAAATACACGTTTGACCATTGTTTTACCTACTTATTAACCAAGTGGGAACGACGTCATTTGACATTTCCCCGACGGGGTAACATTTTTAAAATTGTTTTAAAATAGTTTTCGTACAAAAATATTTCTAAACACTAGAATAACCATGGCAAAACTAAAGAGGCAGATTACCCCATTTCTTTGCTTTCTGTGTATAAAAAACCGCTATTGTAATATAATATTTTGTTTATTTTTTTCTTAAAATAAGATCTCTAGTCTTATTGATGGCACGTTCGGCGACCGCCGGCTGAACAAAATAATAATTATTATTTATAATACGTTATATTGTTTTTCGGCTGGTGCGATAACGCAGCTTGAAGACTTAACGTTTAAATTAAAAAAAAAAAATAAAGGCTCCCGTTCAACTGCTCTCGGGGGCAAACGTTGGCACGTATAAATCCCGTTTTTAATTATGTTTTCTCGTAAAATTAAAAAAAAAAAACGGCATCCTGTTTACACGGAAATCTTTTTTTTTTTTTAACTAATGTATTATTAATTTCGTGTTTAACGCTGGTAATCAAACAACGGCGCTGTTTGTTACTTTATTTAATTTAGCTCGTTGCCGACAACAACGGTCGTCGAGACAAATAAAGATTAAAACGAGTGCTCCAATATGAATTTTTAACGAGACTATCCAGAACGGCTACACTTACTACTACAACTACTACTACTACTTGCTCTGACTTTACACAAGCCGAGCAAAATAACATCTACCGAGCGGACTTCTGAATACTTAATGGCTTCTTAATTATATTACTACGTTGTTGGACGCGTCACAATAGTCAACTATTAGTTAACGACTGTGCGAAAACCTGATATATTATTAATGAATAGTTGAGTCTGTGAATTTACTTTTGATATTTCCCGGACGACTTAATTTATAATACGGGATAAGGTATACCTAACTGAAAGAAAATTACAATGTACCCAGTACCAACTATAATTATTATGCTGTATAAATGTTTTTTTTCCACACAAGTATTTACTATAATATTTTATAAGGTTACTATATGAACTTATAAATTACACAATATTATTATGAAATGAAATATAGTCAATAATTACATCTTGAGATTGGTTTGATCAAAAATCGAACATGATCCTTTTAGATCCGAGGTTCGTGAATTTAACTTAACATACATTTGCTTCCGTTTTTTTGTCAGTTATTTTGCACACCGAATTTGAGAAGTGTTTTTTTTTATTAAGATAACCGTGTTTGTAAAATGTTTTCAGTATTTTATTTTTTAACAATTGAAAACGGACAATTTATAAAAGTACTCGATGAACAGATACAATTGTTATACTTTGATCTAATACCAAAAGTAGTAAATCGAACGTTCAATTGAAAATCATTGAGGGTCATTATCTGTACTTTATAAGAGAGCTGTATACAATACATAAAATATACATACTTTACATCCTTATAATTATTAGTTTTTTAAATATTTTTTTATTTATTTATAACAAGTTCAAAGAAGTTGTACGCGTACCGTGTAAAGATACCATTGTGAACTATGACAAAGCAAAATTAATTTAAAAGCAAAATTAAATAATTCTTAAATGCAATTCGAACGCCAAAGACATATTGAAAATTATCCAAGAACGGTAACGATATACATATCGTACAATTGCCGGCCATGCGTCAACTCTTATAGGCAAGCATCTCGTTAATGGCTTATCTAGTCGAGCGTGTATCAACCGTAAATATAACGTCGTTGAAGTAAAGTAATGAAAAAAAAATATATATATATGTCTATTGAATCCCTAGACTAATGTAAAGTCGGCTGTTTTTTCTTTTAAATCAAATAAATCGGATGTACCCGTGCGTTTGGCGTGGCGAGTATATGGATAAAAGTAAGTAATGAAAACGACTGATGTTCACTTAGTAATATATGGTCGTGGATACGAGTGAAAAGCGAATCGTTTGACTAGTTCTAACGGAATTCCGCTGTTTTATATTATATTTAATAATATTATACTTGGTACACACATGTATATAAAACCTAGTATGTTTTTTATTTGAAAAAAAACCCCAGCACAGTTAGGGTC